AAAAAACAACCCCAATAAACCAAGACCAAACTGCACCACCAGCTCACTTTAAAGGGCTTATAGAAAGCAATAAAAACAACAACAAAATATCTCAGTAGACAACTGTGCAAAGGATTCTATCACAAAATTCTTGAAATAGTTTATACACATGGCTGATACACATTGGAAAAAATGTCCAAAGAAATGGAACTGAAGTAACAAGTTGATTCCATTTTCTATCTATTAAATTAGCACAAAGATCTCTCTCTCTCTCTCTCTGTGTGTGTGTGTGTGTGTGTGTGGTGAAGCTACTATCAGTGATGATGCTGGAAGTAAGATGCCATCTACCTCTGTAAAGATGTACAGTCTAGTCAATCCTATCAGACGTCCCATTTTGCTTTGTGGAATCTCTATGGATCAGAACGAACTCAATGACAATGAGCAATGTTTCAGAGTGGTCTATACACACCTCTAATCAAATCTGGTAGAGTTTACTCCTTTCTTACTTCCATTTTCTTCATGTGGTGGTGTTGTTATGTGCCATCAAGTTGCTTATAACTCACAGCAACCCTATGTACAATAGCTCTCAACTCTGCTTTTATTTTAGGGAGTCTCACTGTCTCTGATACACCTACCTCTGTTACCCCAGTTATGGTGTCAGTTCACCTAATTTGAGGTCTTCCTTTCTTGCACTGTCTTTCCACCTTTCCAAGCATGATGTCCTTCTCCAAGGACTGGTCCCTCTTGGCTACATGCCCAAACTATGTGAGATGGGGTTCCAAAATCCTTGCCACAAAGGAGAAGCCTGGTTTCAATCTCTTTAGGACAGACCTGTTTGTTCTTTTGGCAGTTCATGATATGTTCAATGCTCTTCTCCAGTACCACAACTCCAACTCATCAATTTTTCTGTTATCTTTGGTCATTGTCCAACTCTCTGATACACAGCAAGTGATTGCAAAGACCATGGCCTAAATCAGGTATACCTTAGTCTACAAACTGACATTGTTGCTCTTCAGCACTTTTAAGAGTTCCCTGACAGCAGCTTTGCCCAGGGTAATTTGTCTTTTGATTTCTTGGCTGCTGGTGCTAAGAGTGTTGATAATGGAGCAGAGCAAACTGAAATTGTTAACAACCTCAATCTCTTATCTATCCATCATGATGCTGCCATTGGTCCAGTGGTGAGAATCTTTGTTTTCTTGATGTTGGGCTTCAATCCATATTGAAGACTGCAGTCCTTGACCTTCTGCAATGAACACTTCAGGTCCTCCTCAGTTTTAGCAAATGAAATTGTGTCAATTGCATAACACAAGTTGTTGATGAGTCTTCCTCAAATCCAGTCACACTCCTCATAAAGTCCAGCCTCCTGAATGATCCATTCTGCATACAAATTGAAAACATATGGAGACAAGGTGCATCACTGATGCATTATTTTCCTGATTTTGAAACATGCAGTTTGGTTTTTTGGTTTTTTTTAAATTATGTTTTGACCACTGCCTCCTGGTTGAAGTATAAGTTTCACATGAGCACAATCAAGTGTTTGGGGATTTCCATTCCTCTCAAGGTTAGCCACAATTTATTGTGATCCACACAATGAAATGCCTTTGCAAAGTCAATGAAACACTGGTAGGCATTCCTTTCGTGCTCTTGCTTTCAGCCAAGATCCACTCAATGTTGGTGATTATGTCTCTGGTGCCATGGGCTCCTCTAAGCCCAGCCTGCATTTCTGGCAGTTCTCTGTCAATGTAGTTCCAGTCATTTATTTTTTTTAAATTTTATAATCTTCAGCAAGATTTTGTTTGCATGTCATATGGTTTAATCATTTTCAAACTCAGTCAGGTCATCTGTTTTTGGAATGGGAACAAATATGTGTCTTTTCTAGTCAGTTGGACAGGTAGTTATCCTCCAGATTTTTTGAGTTATCTCTTAGGTGTTTTTCATATCTACTGTTGTTGTTCTATCTATGTATTGTTTGTTTGTTTTCTGAGTTTATTTCACTTTCTTTCTTTACAGAGCCCTTCAAAATTTTATGGGCCAAAGAGCTGAGCAAATAAATGTAAAGAAACCTTTAAACAGTGTGAGTTATTTGTTTTATACACAACTCCTCAGAGACCATGTACAAAAAGTTTTCATTTTATTTTAGAGGAAAATTCACCTGTGTTGTATTGTGAAGAGAATGAAGCTATAATAATATTACAGTATTGTGCAACTTCTAAGTCAAAGTGTTAAACTTTGCAAATATTATATATTAACAGGAAATGATCTGTCAAAAATGGTCCTAAAGGGTTCTATTATGCCATGAAGTATTGAAAATCCTCTCTTGTCACTTAATTTCATAGAATATATCACAGTGGCTGATACACAGGAAACATTACATAACTATTAAATAAACATTAATATATTAATATATTACAGTAATATAATAAACAGTAATATATTACAAGGTGCAATAGCCTCACTCCTTTTGTGTTCATAGAGTTTTCAAAGGCCCATTATTTAAGAAGTAGGGGACTCACCCTGCTGAAGATTATCCAAAAATCATTAGAATAGTACATTAACAGAGAACTACCAGAAATACAAGGTGGATTTAGAAGAGGCCGTGGCACAAGAGACATTATTGCCAATGTCGGACAGATCTTGGCTTGAAGCAAAGACTACCAGAAGGATATCTGTAATTGACTGACTATGCAATGGCATTTAGCTGTGCAGATCACAACAAACTGTGGCTAACCTTGAGGAGAATGGAAATTTCAGAACACTTGATTGTACTCATGCAAACCCTATGCTTAGAGCAAAAGGCATTAGTCAGAACAGAGCAAGGAAACACTGTATGGTTCAAAATTAGGAAGGGCATGCATCAGGAATGCATGCGGTCTCCGTACATTTTCAATCTGTATGAAAAACAGATCATTCAGGAGGCTAGACTCATTAACAACTTGTGTTATGTAGACAAGGCAACCTTACTTGCCGAAACTGAGGAGGACCTGAAGTGTTTGCCGCAGAAGGTCAAGGACTGTAGTCTTTAATATGGATTGAAGTTTAGCATCATGAAGACAAAGATTCTCACTACTGGGCCAATTGGCAGTACCATGATGGATGGAGAAGAGGTTGTTAACAATTTCATCTTGTTCAGCTCTACAATCAACACACCAGCTGTCAGGAAATCAAAAGACAAATTGTCCTGGGCAATGTTGCCGTCAGGGACCTTTCCAAAGTGCTAAAATAGCATTGATGTCAGTCTAGAGACTAAAGTGCACCTAATCCAGGCCATGGTCTTTGCAGTTACTTGCTATACATCAGAGAGCTGGACAATGACTAAGAATGACAGAGGAAGATTTGATACCATTCAGTTGTGGTGCTGGAGAAGAGTATTGAACTTACCATGGACTGCCAACAGAACAAACAGGTCTGTCCTAGAGAGAGTGAAATCAGTGGCAAGGGTTTTGGAACTCCATCTCACATACTAAGGGCACGTGGCCAAGAGGGATCAGCACTGGAGAGGAAGACCTTGAATGAGATGGATTGACCCAGTAACTGGGATAATGTGATTAAGTGTGTCGGAGTCAGTGAGACTGATTCAGGATAGGGCAGGTTTCAGACTTGTTGTACATAGGGTCGGTATGAGTCACAGGCAACTCAATGACACCTAACAACAACAAAAAACCTTTCCATCCATATTTGGCTCCTATTTATTGAGCATGTACTTCAAACAAATGAGTCATGGTAGTGCAGTGTTAAGATACTTGGCTGTTAACAGAAAGGTTAGTAATTCAAACTCACCATCTGCTATGGAGTTTTTTATACCAGAATTATAACTGTGCCAGTTTGTTGTACAAGAATTATAACTTTCTAAATTTTTTTAGGACATTTCTATCCTATAGTGTTGATATTAGTGATGCAATAACAGTGATTTTAGTTTGGTTTGTTTGACTTTGAACAAGCTATAGTCAGCGTTTAAGGATAAGATGATTGGGAAGTTGGTCAACTGTTCCTACTTTCTTAGAATTTACATTTTAGTGGGGGGTAGGGAGATGGACTATATAGCAAATGATAACAATGTAACAGTGTGGAGAAATTGAAGAGAGCACAAGAGGAAATATTTAGCTCACAAGCCCTGTGGGTCTTGTTTAAGAAAAAGCATCTCATTTGCAGTCTACTGCTCCAATCTAAGATGTTGTTAGGTACAGTAGAATTCGAAATAACCTATAGCTGACCTTCAAGTGGGGTTTCAGTGGCAGTAAATTGCCCAAGAGGAGACTGTCCATTTTTCTCCCATGCAACAGCTAATGGATTCAAACTACACTGTAAAGCCAGTGAAATAAATCTCCAGTGTCCTTGTGTCCCAAAAAAGTGCCATGCATTCAATAATATTTGTTGAATTCATAGTATTGTTGTTAGGTGCTATCAAGTTGACTATGACTCTTAATGACTGAAGAAAAGAGAAAAAATCAGGGGAACCATGGTTACCATTCTGGTACTTTCCAGTCAGTGTGGATTCCTCTGCCTCTAAATTTAGGTTACCTTCAGGTTACGAAAGTAAACTTTTCTTAAATGATACCTTAATCTGGTAAATCCTAGATCACCATGACTCAATCTTCTTATCCCAGTATACTGAGCAAGATTTAACAATTCTAATTGTAAAATCTTATAGTTGGCTTGAGCTCAAACTGAATTAATGAATTTAGAATTTGCAAAATGTTACTGAATTTAGCATTTGCAAAATATCAGTTATAACTAGGTCAATGACTCTGATTAACAAGCCCTACTCAAAGTCAATAGAGGGGTTTTGAAAATATATTAAGGGTTAACATCAATAGTTTGGCTAAGATGTTCAAAAGAACTTTAAACAGTAGCCTTTCGAGTTCAGCAAAACAATGATAAAAATAATGAGTTTGGATGTTTTTAGCTAAAATGGATAAATTTGAAAAGACTCCCCTTGTAGTTAACTTTGATGAAATTAATTAAAAATTTTATAACAAATTCCATAATGTTTTACAAATATCTTGCCTCATTCTAAAACTCACCTTGCCAAGGCAAAGGCATCATCAATAAGACTTGCACGATCAGCAGAAGAAAAGCTCTAGAAAGCAGAAGAAAAAGAGGTAAGAAACATTCTTAAATTAAGCAAAATGTGTTGATGAAATTGATACCATTAAGATACTAGAATAAAAATATAGTAATTCACAATCATTGCTATCTCTTACCATGTGGTTAGAGGAGAGATTTTCAGCTATGTAGTTCCAAGTTGATTCTTCATAATTTACACGATAAAACCCAATATGATCTGGGTTTATTTTGAGGAAAGCGTTTCCAGTAGGATCAGAAGAGTTCAAAATTATTCCTGTGGTGATAAACAAGCATTAATGAGGAAAATGTTTGCATATGCTATAAACACAGAGAAATTAGCCCCAGAGCTTAAAAAGAACAGACAAGAAACATTAACTCAAGCAGTCAAATTTTATTTCAATTCACAGCCCCAAAGCGTATTTAGTTGCTTAACTTTAGAATGTTGCCGAAGTTCATGAGCTGAGAAAGAAGTAATATAAATAAGTAACCTATTATTTTGTGACTCAAACTTCCTACTGGCAGAAGCTTGTAAGGGGCTGAAACAATTCTGCACTTGTCAATTCTTTGATAAAAGAAAATGATGTCTAAAGACAGAAGTCTATATAGTTCTAATCTTCAAGGGTTAACTACACAAAGAATATTCACTGAGGTAGTCTGGAGAAGGATGAAGATGTAAACATTCAAAAAGATACTTTGTTTATTAAGATCAGCTCTGAAGTTGACGTAAATCCTTATTGCGAAACAGAATGATTTAAGAATCAGAAATGCTTTTAAAATGTTAAGAAAGTTTTCAGTAAAACTGAAATTCAAATATAACATTCTAGATTTTGTAATCCATTTCATGCCTGCTCTTCCAATTTTATCTATCTTATAGTCTTTTACTTCCTTATTTCAAGTGATTGCATCATTTTTATCGATTAACTTTTATGTTAAAGTAGTATCCAGTACTTGAACAGAGGTCCAACATAAAGACTTTAGAAGTCCAACATAGAAAGATCAGAGACTCACATTTTAGACAAAATATAATGAACCTAATTATCTTGCTTAAAGGAACTATAGTTAGCTATAGTCAGCTATAGTCTGACTTGGCAAGAAATTATAATGATGATGATGATGATGTTATATTACTATTACATTTTGCAATTCATATACTTTTTAGTGTGCATGGACAATATGCAATCTAAAGACTCAAATGATGGAGCAATATTGAATATTGGCAGAGCAAGACTTGATATATTTTAATAATTTCAATTAACCTAATGTGACAAAAATGTAGAGTGTATATGGGAAAACAGGAAATAAGGTTGAAAATACCAATTGAGGTGTCAGTATGAAGACCCATTCCATTTTAAAGAATCCATCTTTGTGTGTGTGTGTGTGTGTGTGTGTGTGTGTGTATGCGTGTACCGTCAAATCAGATCTGACTGGTACAGGAGGATATTGCGCCTCCTTCTCCGGCAGAGCGTCTGGTGGATTCGAACCGTGTTCCTCTGGGATTGCAGTGCAGTTTCTTGCCACTAGGCCACCAGAGCTCCCCCGTCTTCCTCTTTATTGGATCAGGGCCCACTCAAGGGCATCTAAAAACAGCAATGGGATATGTACAGATACAGATTAAAAGGATAGGGGAAAACACAGAAAGGAGAAAGAGAGACTAACTCAGCGTTAATCATAATAACTTGTGTAAGAGGGTAAGGGGTTACATTAATGTAGAGATGATGAAATTAGAGAAGAAGTGATGTGTCAATAGATCTATCACAGGTAAAGTGAACACAACATGTTCTCTGACTTGATGTGGAAATTTAGAGAAGAGGAAGATAACTTCCGTGATTGGATGAAAAATGGCATTGCAGAGGATGGAGGAAGATGAGTACGTTTGGGAGGAAAGATGATGTAACATTTGGAAGTGTTTGCAAGGTCTGGATAATATCCATGGCACAGTAGTTTTTCATAATGTATGGATAAGCTCTTTAACAGGACAATAAATAAATTTTCTTAGAAACTTTCAGAGTAGGTACTTGACAAATTATAAACCCTTACCTCACTCATGAAGTATTTATCTTTCTTTGTCATTCTCCCATGGACAAGTTGTTGAAAGGAAGCTAATCTTTTGGCAGCTACACACTTTGAGTGTTTGTATCAGGAGGAGTGTGTCTTGCTAACCATAAAGCCATATGTTACAGAGGAAAGAGAATGAACTTTTGAGTCAGGTACAAGGTAAAAGCCTTACTGTGACTTATTAGCTGTGCGACTTTGGCTAAATCACTTGACCTCTCTGTGTCCCAAGGAAAGGGGAAAATTTCCTCATCAAGAAGAAAATAGGGACCAAAATCCCTCACACAAATATTGAAAAGATTAAATAACATAATAGAGTTAAAGTGCTGGTCACATACTTATGTGTCCAACAGACAGATGGTGGCTATTCACATTGTTATGAAATGAGATATGCCGCCTTTTCTATAAATAACAAGCTAAATAAAAATAACATTGCAAAGTTCCTGGCAATCAATCGAAGTACTACAGTATTTTAGTGTGTTTGATATGTACCTAGTTAAGCCTGTCTAGAGTTACTGTGATTTTTCTCACTTTATAGATGAGGAAGCTGGGATCCAGGAACTCAGTAGTAAGGACTTTCCAAGTTCATTTTACTTTCCGAAGAGTTGCCAACAGGCATATACTGTTGGAATGTTTAGCTGTGCAATGAAATAAGCAGGACTGAAATACTGATGTCTATTCAGGTGGTGGATAGAAGTAAGGGTGTGTTTTCTTAGTTTATCCATTTACTAATCCTTTCCTCCTTCATTATAACAATAGTATATATTGTCTGGGGACATTATAAAAATACAAAAAAAGTATAAAGAGGAATAGAAAATGAATGACCTATCACACTTAACCATCTATTACTTTTCTTTTTTGGTTGTTTTTCTTTTTTCTTTTTTTTTTCTCCTTGTTGTGGACTGTCAAATTGGATCTGACTGGCACCGGAGAAGATTGTCTCTCCTTCTCCAGTGAAGAATTTGGTGGATTAGAACTGTGTGCCTTTGGGATTGCAGCACAACTTCTTGCCACTAGACCACTAGAGCTCCATTGAGTGCTTTTCTTATCTGTGAGTTTATGTATGTCTGTTTTCTATACTCACACAGCAGTGAATGCCCAGCCCTCTTTTTCTTTTTTGTTAGCCTACCAGAGCCATCAAAACCTGTTCACCGTCATTGATCCTATTGGTATTTGAAATCCCAGGGCAGAGCATCCAGCATAACAGCAGCTTCAAAGCCATCACAGTATGACACATTGACAGATGAGTAGTGGTAGATACATACACAAACACATACACATTACAAATAGTGAGATCCTATTTGTTCTTTATGATTGAGAGCGCTTGGTAGCTGAGTCATAGAAGTAGTAGTAGAAGTAGAAGGAAAGATGTTGCCTTGCCAACCCAAAGGCAGGTGATTCGATGATGCCAGATGCTCTGTGGCAGAAAGATGAGCAATCTCCTCCCATGTGATTAACAGTCTCTGAAAACCCAGTGGAGGGTCAGCTATGAGTCAGTTCTAACTTGATGACACACAGAAACGACAATAGTAGCATTCTTTATGATTAGTATCTTTCTTTTCTCTACTGGAAATTTCCTGTAAGCACACTAAAATTTCACTGTATGTACATGTGTGAAAATAATGGCCATATTTTTCTCTCATACTCATTTCTAAATTGTTCTATTTCTTACTAATTGTAAGCATGATTTTGTTGTTGAACTATTTCTGGGCTGTTCTTAGGAAATATCTATTGCTAATTCTGATTTAGTCCAGATGATTGAGAAAATGGGCATTTATATTTTCAAACTCTAACAATAACCTATAATCAAATAAATTTAATTAGGTAAATTTCAGCACGTGTAGATTTCAGTAGCAGATTATGTTTGACAATTCTTTAATAATGCTATATTGCATAAATATTTATAAATATTATATAAATAATTATGACAAATTTAAGACAACTAGACATTTGTGATAGCCCTAGATTCTGAAACACATAACATTTTCCTTTTGTGATAAAAATGTTGGGCTACATTGCTTCTTTAAGCAAATTATTTTCAGTGCAAGATGACAGCTTATATTTCATTACATTTTTTAACTATACTATAAACAACTGAAGATACAGTAGCAGTAGTTTTTGACTAATAACATACATGTTATACTTGGAAAGCTAAAATGTCTAGTATAATACGGTTTCAGAGCTTGAGTCAGGAAAAAAATGTCAGTCTCTTAAATTAAGATCAACATGATTAGATATGAAATGGACTGATTATCCATTTGTAGAAACATTTTCAATAACTCACCCACAAAAGAACTTATTAGTGACTGTTAATGATAATTTCAGGTGTCTCCTAAATTTCAGCAGGTAGCCTATAGAACACTCATGAAAGGAGAAGCAGTTTTAATTTATGATATGTCATCTGGTGGCCTAGTGCTGACGAACTGTGCTGCCAACCAAAAGGCATATGATTTGAATCTACCACAGGCTCCCTGGGAGAATGATAAGTCTCCTCTGTGATTTACTGCCCCTGAAAACTTACTGGAGGGCCAACTATGAGTCAATTCTGACCAGATGGCACGTAACAACAACACAACATGTTATGCAATGAACAAGGACATGGGAAAATGCAACCTGCCAATTGTGTGGAGGATGATTTTTGTGGTTGTTGTTGTGTCCTGTTGAGTCACAACCAAGCCACTGCCAACCTTCCAGTGGGTTTTCAGAGGCAGTAAACTGCACAGGATGAGATTGTCCTTCTCTCTACCGTAGAGCAGATGATGGATTAGAACCGTGCACCTTTGTACTGGCAGCACAATTACTTATTCCAAAGTCTCCCTGATTTTCATGGATAGGAGGAAATAACATCAAATGAAAGGTACAGAGAGAAGATCTATCAGTGTGTTTCCATTCCTCACAGGAAAGGCAGGCATTCGACTGACCTAGCTCACATGTTCCAGGGGGTGGGTAAGTCTATTCCCACAGAGAAAATTTGTGAGGTAGACACACCTATTAAATTGTGTTTCCTCTTCCTACTAAGTACACAATTAGACTATACATGATATACTTAAACGGCAGCTCACTTGAAGGCCATGCATATGATTGATTTGTAATAAATGTGATGGGCTTGATTTGTAGTAATGTCATGATTGGTAATGGCATGTAATAAATGAATGGGATTGATTTGTAATAGATGAAAATGTAATAAAATATAAATTAAATCCCATGCAGGGGATTGAGAAA